CGTCACACTGTGCGCCACGTTATTGTTTCGGTGAAATGAATTTCTACAATACTGTTACTGTTAATTGTTCTCTCTGCAGTGTTTAAATGCTTACACACAGTTACTGTCCCTCCACACAGAGGACTCAGTTCTGCTTCTATGCCCCACCTTTGTTTACTTGTTTTACAGTTTCTGATTGGCCAACATTTCTACAGGTTAGGAATATAGCGCCACCTGTTGCTTGGTATGTTCCTGGCAGCGTTTTCCTTCATTTTTGGCATTTACGTGTGGACGGATTTTTTTTTAAAAAATGGAAAATCTCCGTTTTCAAAAATACCCGTGTATGTGTGGACGTAGCCTTCGTACAAATATATCTGCATTCATTAATAATAGCCACGCACAGCGCAGGAAGCACTGAGCCAGCTTCCTGTTAAGTTTTTAAAAGGTTCAGATGTAACATTCAAGACTCTAACTAGCAGAAAGCAGCAAGTGAATCGCGTCAGTAAGAAGGAGCCGTCTTTACTCAAGCTTAAAGGAGTAAATCAATAAAATGTCACGTGATCAGAAATATCACAGACGGCAGCAGCGTGACTGAGACGCTGTAAACAAGAGTCTGCTGAGAAATCTGCCGCTGAGATGTTTCTGCGCTCTTATTTTTAAATCTTATCGTTCACATGTGGAGAGTTTCTCTGCAGCTCTGAACCACATCCTCTCCAAACCTGCAGCCTCACAAACAGGCTGCTGTCTCTGTGCCGGTCAGCTTCACCGAGCTGCGTCCTCTTGCCTCCTGTTCTCGTCTCCATCTGGTCTGCAGAGCTTTATTTATCCTCGTCTGAAGATCAACAGAAACCACAGCGCAGAGCAAAGCTGCGCCGGAAAACTTTGTTTCGGTGTTTTCATTTTTGATAAACTTGTATGATGTGCTTCCTTTGCTCTGTTTGCACTTCTGACACTTATCTAAACGTATCTTTTTAAAATGACCCTTCTGCGGCGTCCTTAAAGGTTACAGAGCGTTTTCCCACACACGGCTCTGACACGCTGCGCCTGAATCACCCTGCGTGAGATCTTTTAGAGCAAGGCCCTTATGTTTGCTTAATATTAGCTTCCTCCAAGTGTTTACTGAGATCCTCAGTTTAGCTTTCTCTTTGAACCTGCTGTGCATCGTCTTGAGTCCAGCTCCTGTGCCACCTGGAGTTTCCTCCGACGGTAACAGCTGCTGTGGTTTCTGTGTTTGTGTCCAGACTCCACAGAGAGACCTCTGCTCCACTTTGGCCACGGTGACCTCCACAACGCCACCGCTCTGCTGCTGAGCAGGGACAGCTCCACTCTTTATGTTGGGGCACAAAACGCCATCCTGTCACTGGACGTTAACCAGAGTGACGTCATCAGACTGAACAAGAAGGTTGACTTTTACTGAAATATGATTATTTTTACTGCTGAGGTCCCGTGATGCCGGAGTACCAACAGTTCGTCTGTGTTTTGTTCAGGTGCAGTGGAGTCCGTCTGATAAAGAGACAGCGGATTGCACGGGGAAAGGAAAGGATTTAAGGGTAAATATAAAATCCAGACAGCAGGAATTGTGAATATGAATACTTTTTCTTTTCACTGTATGGTGAATTTTCACCAGTAAGGAACAATCCAAATGTATTTAACGCTGCAGAGAATTGAAACCCTGATTCCTGGACCACATCACTTCACTCCACGTTGGTCCCTCCCTTTCCTCGCCCTAATGTAGCTGTATATAAAAAAGCAAGAACACCCACCAAAGATAAAACTTTGAGATATTTGAACCAGAAGAGCTTCATACTGTTTAAAGCTACGGAGGAGTCAACAGGAGTGCGTGTGGGAAAGGAAGTAATGTGGAGATTTTATTCAGTTTCTGTTGTTTTGCAGAACGAATGTCCAAACTTTATCCACGTGTTGCAACCTCTAAACTCCACCCATCTCTACACCTGTGGCAGCTACGCTTACAGCCCCCAAGAAGCGTACATCGTAGGTTCATACATGCTGTCAGCTTCAATCAAGTCTGTTAACCAGATGAGAAAAATCTTATAGAAATGCTTTCTAACAGTTCAGACACAGTTGGATGTTCAGCTGAGCTTTTGTTTGTCTTCATCAGGACACCCAAAGCTTCTCCGTGGTCAAAAAAGTCAGCGCGAAAGGTCGCTGTCCGTTCAGCCCCTTCGAGAGGAGCGCCGTCGTCATCGCAGGTCAGTGTGCTGAGCTGCAACTTTCCGCTGGGCTCGCGTTCAGCGATAAAGCGGTCAAACCTCGAGCGGTTTGCACAAAGCTCAGCAAGAATCTTTGCAGAGTTGATATTTTGATGAGGAGTGCTGCAGAATATGAATTTAAACTTTTCATTAGTTTTTGTTTTTTATCTTCCTTTTGTTTTGCAGAAGTTTAGTTTCAGTTCTTTCCAGAGTTTTTTTTTTTTTACACATTTCAGTTTAGTTTCAGAGTAACTGAGAGTGAATTTTTAGCTTTTATTAAGTTTCAGTCACAGTTTTACTTCAGTTCTTTATTTTTTTAAATAAAAATGTAGTAATGGAGTCTTCAGTATGACAATTTACTTTCAGTTTCTCCAAAAGTTTAGCTTTAATTACATTATAAATGAAGCGTTATTTCTCACTGAATTTCCATATTTTGTTGTGTTTTTGTTGCCATATAAGTTTGGCTTTCAGTGGGAAAATCTGAAATTGGAAAAAATTGGAATTGGAAAAATCTGTAGCCTTAACTTTGTGACCTTTAATGTGTTGGATGCAATGCATTCAAAAACAAGTGGAAAATTATCTGATTCACTTTGGATTTCAGCTGCAATATAAATTATTGTTTCCCCTTTTGCACAAACCACAGTTGCGTGAGAGAATTTCATATGAAGCGTCTGTGGGTGGCATGGTGTCACTGGCTGTGACCCACAAACAGCAGCAGAGGTTACTCTCTGACACAGAGCGTGCCTGTCATTTCCTCCCCCGTGCACAGCAGCGCGTCCTGTGTTTATGTCCTGCACACAGATGCATCAATCGAATAAAAAATGTATCAGATGTTCGGCTGTTTTCATGACACACTGGTTACTGCGATCGCTAATGCAGGAATATTAACACTGCTGTGCGAGTTGGCACACATGAATACATGAAAATTGTTATTTGACCAAAGCAGAGGCAGCATTTGTCGTATGTTCTCATGTGCTTTAAAACAAACACCCGGAGCTCTCGTGTTTATTTATGTGCAGACGGCGAGCTGTTCACAGCCACAAAAACCGACTTCAGAGGAATCAAACCACAGATTTTGCGATACTTCAGCAAAGACGGCCGTCCAGACGTCAGCCTGGAGACGTCGATCCGCCTACTGGAAGGTGAGCGAACATGATCAAGCTGTAAAAGCCCAGCTTCTCCCAGATGTGTCACTTTCTGTTCTCGTTCTGCAGGTTTGATGAAACACGCACAAACAGACACATAATGATTACAAAGTGTCGCAGTCAGATAAAGACAGAGGAAAGGGGAAGGAAAAATGTCACAAAGAAATGAAAAGAACAAACTGGACTTTTCTGCTTTACGCCTGAATTTCACTGCAATTTCAGGCAAATGAAAAACCTAAAATATGGCAACTCAAATGAAAAACCTAAAATATGGCAACTCAAATGAAAGACGACGAGTGCTCAGTGAATACTTCCAGACACAAAATGAACAAAAGGTGGCTGTGATGGACGGAGCAGTGAAGAAAACTCCAAAAAAAGGTTTTTTATTTAACCCCAAAATAAACTTGGTTAAATTATACAGAAAAGAGGTCAAAGTAACAGAACTACTCAAACAAAACTGTTTGTCTGATCAGCCAACAAAACACTGAAACTAGCCTAACAAATTCCATTTCCCCCCATGACCCAGAGTTGTGGTATGACCCACTTTGCAGGTCTACATGTAGGCTTGCTCCGCCCCTTTTTCACCTCTTAGCTCATCAACCAAAAAGAAAACTCATATTTAAAGAAAGACTAATCTAAGTGTCGTGTTATGTGTGAGCTTCTGCTGTTACCCTGATGTTTGGTAGATGTCACCACGTGTGGCTGCATCACGCTGGTGACGAGCGCTCAGCCACTTTAGTCCATATCACACTCAGGGATCTGCATCAGCGTCATCGAATGTGGGCTGGTGGTAAACTTAATTACTGACATCTGTCTCACACACCTAAATGCACATCTGTGATAATGTGATATATGTCTCACCACTGAAACCACCACTAATATAGGAGCACGCGTAGGAGTCCTGACACCTCCAAACCCAAGGTGGTGAAAGAGGATTATTTAAAAAGTCACTTTAGTTTTTGAGCAGGTGAAACTCAGGCCTCGGTTTCCAGTGGAGTGGAGTTGACATATGCTGTGTAATGATTGGGGTGTCCGATCTTTAATATGTTAAAAAAGTAGCTTTATAATCTATCCTGGACTCAGAACTGTGCCAAAGATGGGCCTGGGGTCGTCCACACTGGTGTTCAGGTCTCATCTGTCATATCTGAGTCTTCGTCAGGATCTCAGTAAAACTTTCCACTCGACACACACCAAAGCACCTGTCCAGTTACCTGAGCCGCGGTGTCTCATTGTTCCTGTTTAAACAGGTTCCACATATAACATTTGGTGCCACTAAAGACCAGGATGAAGGACGTCACTCTTCAGCACATCCAGCTGACAGATGTCAGCCAGGGCACCGTGTTTATGCTGCGTACAGTTGCTGCAGCGTCCTGCATGGGCATGGTAGGGCAGGGAGGCCATAGTGGCAAATATAAATCGTTGCACATTCAGTGCCAGGTTTTGTACAGGAAACTGCAAATGGACAAACTCTTCTTGGCCCTTGGAGGTTGGGTCTGTGGGGTCCAAAGCTGCTCTGCGTCTTTGTTGGAGCTGCTCCTCCTCCTGAGCATCCACAAGCAAAATCCTCAATTATTAGCTCCGCCTACTAAAGCTCAGATATTCCTGTGATGAGGTTGTTGTGAAGTAACTCAAGAGAAGTGTTCCTGATATTTAAACTACATTTTTATTAATGAAAAGCAGAAAAAGCTTTTCCATAACCTGCTGCAACACCCTCGATGTGAATCACCGTCTCACACATCAAGGCAGCGACTCTGCCAACACTCAGATGTCGGTCATAACTACTGTTCTTTAAAACACTGACATGGAAAAACCATAAAAACCTCACAAACATGGATCAGACATGTTTGTGTCAGCTCGAATACTTTCAACCAAACCACGGTGAGGTTTGCAGAGTTCCCTGCGTTCTGTCTCCAACTGCTCATTTCCTCTTTGTCTCAGACGTCGCCGTGTCTTTGTCATTTTAAAGAGTTCTGTCTGCTGCAGATAAACACGTTATATTATGTGTTGAATCCGTCTCCACCCGTCGGTCTGTCAGCTGAGTACTGATCACTTTCCCCGACATTCAGACCACATGGCACAGACTCTGTTCTGCACTCACTTCCTGCACTTCTGTATTTCAGAGCCCACATTCGTCAGCTCATCACTGGACCCAGCAGAGGGGAAACTCTACTTCTTCTTTAGTGAAGTTGGGAAAGAGTTCAGTTACGTAGACGATCTGAAAACCGCTCGGGTGGCTCAAGTCTGCAAGGTGACAGCGAACAGCGAGAGCGCACGATGTGAATGTGCTTATTAACACGAATATTACATGAAGTTTATGAAGATCATGAAGATTGTTCTGTGCTGGTTTTACAGGACGACGTTGGTGGAGTGAGGACTCTGCAGAAGAAATGGACGTCCTTCACCAAAGCCACTCTGCTCTGTCAGTTTGAGAAACAGCTTCCCTTCAACATTCTCCAGGATGTGTTCACCCTCCCGCCACCAGAGGGCGGCGACACCGCTGACACTCTGTTCTACGGTGTCTTCACGACTCAGTGGTAGGTAAACAATAAGGAAGGAAGGAAGAGGGATGATGTTTGGATTGTTCTGGTCTTAAATCTTTTACCTGTCACATCTGCTTGTTGTTTTTAATTAAAGCCATGTTTACATAGTTACTCTAGTTACATCTAGTTACATCTAGTTACTCTAGTTACATCTAGTTACTGCCAAATAAACAGCTGAGAATCAACCCCCAGATTTCCCAGCTTGGAGGTTCAGATGAGTGATTGGTGGCAGCTCTTACAGAGCATTTTCCCATGCTGTGGTTCTGCCGATTACTTATTTGGGACTGAGCGATGAAAACAACACGAGCCAGGGTGGCATGGCTCCATGGTCGACAAAGTGGTCCCTTCCTGCCTGCCCAATACTTGCAATACGGCCCCAGGGGGCCCGATACCCCATAGACCCCCTTCACAGCTGAGAGATTTACTGTACAAGTGTCATGGTCCTG